CAAAGAAAGCATCCAGAACGGATCCCTTTGTGGAATTGGAGTAAGCAATGGTTGGCTCAGCGCCTACTAGCTTCATTTCGGGATGCGAATTGCATCAGGCTCCCACGCAGCGGTAGTGGCATGGTGCAACTTCTATGCAATGCCTGTCCTTCCGAGCGGATATGTTTATGGAACTTAGAAAGGTCCATGGTCTACCCAAGCACTTCTTGCAGTCTTGTTCGCTGTGGATGAAGAGGCGTGTTCTCCACCTCATCTGGCGCAATTGGCGAAGAGCGGATTTGGCGAATGCCTCCAAATCCGTTCTTAAGAAATTGCTAAGTCGGCTAAGCGACATCAACTGGTGAAAAACGATTGACACAAACAATATGATAGTTTTGTCGTTAGCCGAAAGAAAGAAAATCCATTTGGCGCCGCGCCAAACGCAGTCGCGCGGACACGCCCCATCGTCCGAAGCTGTACTTTTTAGTCATCTAAGTTTTTACGAAACTATGTCAACTTATCAATTTTTGTACCTAGTTATTGATTTGTTCAACCAACTCAATTTTCGTACTGTTTTTTTTACATATCCGGGTTCTCCACGAAGCAAGTTTCGCTAGGACCCAGCACACTAAACGTTTGCGCTGCTCGGTACTGATTGCTGATCTTATTACGACCCCCCCCTTCAGCGGTCAAATACGACCCCCCACTTCAACCGACAAATGCGACCCTCCCTACTTCAACGGTCAAATGCGACCCCCTTGTTGGAGAATCGCCAACGATGATGTGCCCTGGTCGTATAGTATAATACTTCAGCTGCGCCAGCAACGAGAGGGATCTTCAGCTCTTTTGAAACAGGTGTAACCGGGAAAATTTTCTATCAAACTCCGCAAATTTCTCCAAATACGACCCCCTCCCCTTACCACAACAACAAGCAAATACGACCTCCCTCCCAACAAAGAACAAATACAACACCCCGCTTATAGCGTCCGTGAAACAAGAAAAATCAACTATCAAGGAAAATTGTTCCTAAGACCAGCTACGTCCCCCTCCCCCAGCAACTAAATCTTGTCCCCCCCCCCAGCCCGCTCCCCAGCGCTCTCAGCCTACCGGTGACACGTGTCCTACGGTCCCCAGGCGTACGAGTGGTCGTGATTGCCTTTACGTAGCAGTAGTTATATCTTCTCGCGACGCGAGATTAATTGTTCTGACACGATTGCGGACAAGTGTGGGTTAGTGGTTTAGCAGGCCTGGCTTATCCGTTTGGTTTTTGTTTCGCGACCGTCAGGCGCGTGCACTGTGGTGGTAGTGACGACATACGAGTCAGATGTACGAAACGTGTGGTAATCGTGACTGAATGGACTAGCTTCTGATTAACTTAAAATATTGTTTTAGATCATTGAAATATTTGGTAGGGTATTTAGGAATAGTCTTCTATAGGATGGCAGGAAGCGTGCGCTAGCGCAACTCTGAGTGGCGCGAACAAGTCCATATTCAGTGCATGGGTGATACACAGCATCCTCTCATTCCATTTTTATTCGTGCTTTATATATGTGTTACATCCTTTATTTGTGAAGTCTGGTTGATGGCGATTCTGCGGCGCATGTAATACCTATGGACTGATACTAAGATGTCCAGTGGTGGACACTAGCATAAGCGTAATTGTTCATGTTTCGAAACACCTTCATCTGTCCACTTATAATTGACTTTGTCAAGTTGTTGATTTATATATTATCTAAGAGGACCCATTCATTGATTGCTGGAATAGACGATAGAGGTTGGAGAATTTTATGTAAAAATATTGAAATCAATAGTGGCTGCTTATCTTCCTACTGGCAACATCGGACATCGTCTTTCCGGTGAAACTGCGCTTGAGAGGTGGAACAATTCCGCGCGCTAAAATTGAGGAATTATGGTAGGGTTGACAGTTTTTGACTCACTAAGCTTTGCCATTGCACCGGTGATGTGAACTATCGGATTCCAAGCGTTATGGACACTGTCGGATTTTATACCACCTTCAACTGTTCTCTAAGCACTCTGAATTACTTGCCTGAGGCAGTTCTCAGAGTTTTTACACTCTGATGTTGAATTTTGTGGCTATCTAATCAAGCTGTTGATCAGCGTTCGCGCCACCCAATATGTTCCCATCATGCCCTATCTAGCTGGGTTGAACAAGCATGTCGCTGTGGCCGGTGCTATGAATTTGGTGACCCTTCTGAGGCTCCTGATGTTATCTTATCAGCTGTTATCACTTCCTGCCACCCACCAATAATGTTCCCATCCTGCCCCCTATCTTACTTCTTGGAACCAAAGTCCTACCGTCGCTGTGACGCACGTTATGGATTTGTGACCCTTCCCTTCTAAGGCTCCTTATGTTATCTTATCAGCTGTTATCACTTCCTGCCACCTACCAATAGTGTTCCTGCCCGACCTCCTACATCACTTATCAGTTTGAGCGCACAATCGCTGTTTTGAAGGAAGTTATGAATTTCCGGTCAAACACACATACAGACAGACAAACATTCACACACACACACCAACAGACAAACTTAGCGGATCATATATAGTAGGACAGTTTTCCTTTCTCCTTGCCGTTTCAACTTGATAGCCCTCGTTCCTTCTTTCAATTCGTTAATTTTCACATGCCTTCCATTTTTTGGTGTTCTCGTCTTTCAACTGCTGGCAGATTCATGCACCTCCTGAAGGTGCTTTTCTGATGGCAGATCTTATCTTATCCCTTCAGTCAAATCTGCATTTGTGCGACTCTTTATTGACGTAAGGTAAAAGGCAATCGCACTTGGGCATCCGGCCATTGCGAGCGCGCGGTCCCGGCACGATTTCGTTATCGATCAGCGCTATCCTCGGCTAGTATTGTATAGAGCGCGCTAGCGATCGCACAACTACGGAGTATGAAAGCGCTCTTAGACTGCGTTTATATCATACTTTGCGGCAGCGTACGCCAGCGTAGCTAGCGCTTCCAGCGTACGCCAGCGGCAGTGTCGGGGAAAGGATAGATATCGATCTAGCGTTCCAGCGTCACCAGCGTACGCTAGCGTAGCGAGGGCACGGGAAGCATAGCTATCGATCTAGCGCTTCCAGCGCTTCACCGGCGTTTCCGGCGGGGCTAGAGAGATAGAAGGGTAGGGGAGTAGAAAACACATCGATTACGCGTTGTGAAATGTGGCGCGTGTAGCCACACCGCATCAGTAGGCAATACCGTACTCTAAAATGGGTGCATTGCGCAGTGGGGGGTTTGGGGCAGGGCACGCCATTGCGTTGTGATCATTTCCTGAAAAATACGACCCCCCCCCTAATTCCATCTTCAAGTACGACCCCCCTCCCCTCCCCATGTTACCTCTTCCCTAGATTTTTCCAACCTCCTACCACTTTGTCTATTTTTTCCCAAAAAATTTCTGGTTTTTTTTACAAAATTTTGCTGTCGAGCGGGGGGGGGGGGGGGGGGGGAAAGTCACAGCACCTACGTACGTACCAAGCACGTCCACCACTCTGGCGCTGGTGTAGCATACTGACAATACGTACGAGGAAGGGGCGATGATAGGATCTACGATCACCGCCCACAAGGCACCATGAATTTATAAACAAACAAAAGGACTCACATGACGATTAATACATGAACACGATGAAAGTACATTCCCGACTTTTTCTGATCCTTAGGAGCACATTGCTTGGCAAACTGGGAAAAGCCCTATCTAGAAGTTACACCTTCCAAACACCTGCGTGAAAGCCCCATGCATGGCGCATTGCAGAGGTGATGCCAATTGGCGCCCAATGGCCTATTTCCTGATACCCTTTGCGAAAACATGTGTTTTAGAAGCATACCAAAGTCTTCAAGCCAACTGGAGGTTTCATGGCCTCGGAGTTACGGGCTGATTTTTCGTGTCGTGGGGGGTGGTTACGAAATGATCACAACGGGGAATTTTTTCGAATAGCAGGCCTAGGAAGAAAATTAAAGCCTTGCTGGAAAGTAGAAATCTTCAAGTTCCGGCAGAATTCTCGGCACAGTTCTTCTTTTTTAGCGAAAAGCCGTCGTGTGAAGCTTGGCATGGATCGTCCAAAGGCGTTATGCGATTTCGCTGGTATTCGCAAAACGATCAGACGGATCACACGATGATCACAACGGGGAAGACCTCTCATCGGCATGGCGCGTGAAACCGGTTTTTGAAAATCGCTCAATTCAGGTGACAAGAGCCAACCTAGCTCTACTCATTCCCACTTACCCCTCTCCGATAGCTTCACTTTCAACGAAGTTATGGGTGTTCAAATGAGGGGTACTTTTCACGTGTTTGGCTTGAAATTGGCTCCAGGCCGTAAAATAGCGCGCACCAATGAGCTTGTATGAGCGCGCTGACCGCGAACAGCCAAAATCAAAAGGAGTCCGGTTTCGGCTTCCAGCTGGCCTGTGAGTTGTTTTCTATCCATGTTGATTGTGATTAATTTTGTTTGTTGTTTTGTGAGTTTTGATTTTGTTTTGTTGAGTTTGATTTTGTTGTGAGGAAATTGCTCAGGATTCAATTTCTACGGTTTCATAGGTAGCTTTTGCAATGGATTCTTTTCTAGATTTTGCGGATTAGTGGATTGGGATTTATCTAGGACCAGATGAGGATGGGTTGGTGGGCGAAGTGTCTTGAAGTTTTTTGAGGAAGGAGGAAAAAGTTTCAGCAATATTTTTTTTAGTTTTGGCCTAGGAATAGTTCGATAGTGCCTAGTTCTATTTATTGTCATCTACATCGTCCCTTTTGAGCTTCTTTTCACTTGTACCGTGTATCACCGCTCTCTCCACTTCAACATGGGCCATGCGTTTACGACCCCCCCCCTCCTCCATCGCGGGCAAATACGACCCCCCCCGTTGTGATGATCACAAAGATGGCGTGCCCTGGTTCCCTCTCCCTGGCTGGAGATTTGGCACTAATGTTGTTATTCCTTTGCTTTGGTCTTACGATACTTAGTGAGATTTTTTTTGCATTCGGGTCCCATACTTTCCACTGATTTTTACCTATTCTCAGATTCATTTACGGACAACGTACAGTTGCACGAGAAGAACCAATACGGATAGAAAGCCGTCTTTCAGAGTGACAACTATGTGAGTGCATGTAGAAATGTCAGGACCGTCGAACTGTCAAACATTCGGATTTTGCACTCATCTTTACTTCGGAACCCCCCCCCTCATAAGCCGGTGTTTCCCTTTATGCTGCTACTTCAATTTTGAAGATGTTTTCTTTCATCGTTGCTACTTTAAGCTTGAAGATGTTTCCTTTTTATGCTCTAACGTATTTACGAAGTTGAAGAATTTTTCTTATTATGCTGTTACTTTCGGAAGTTGAGCGGCAGGCGTGTGGGCGGGTGAAGAGTAGGCCGAACTGCGCCTTAACAATGTTTGCTCTTGACAACGACCATTTTTGTAAATATCCTTTATTTCTCGAAGAATAAACTAATTTTATGTAACATTTCCACAACAACATCGCGGAGCACTTAGCGCACACTGTTCCCGAGAAGTAGATGGCTACAGGCGCCTTACCTGAAAGTTGTGTGTTAGCAACAAATACCGATGATGCGAAACAGAACAGTTTCCAATGCACAAGGGGGGGGGTCGTACCAGGACCCCTATTTGGAGAGGAGTCATATTTTTCAGGAAACTGATCACAACGCAATGGCGTGCCTGGAGGGAACTGCTCTCATCATGGTGGTGTCCGCAGCAAGGCTGAAACAGTTGTGTACAAGTCAGGAGTGAAAGGACACGAAACGGGCAAAGATAGAAACATGGTTGTATCCTCACCTCTTGTGTGGTTTGCAGGCAATTGTAGAGCTGCGGAACGGTCATCTGCAATGAAATCATGCAGTGCTCAAAACCTGGCATGATTTGCACAAATTTCGCACAATGAAGAAGAGTGTCAACCGCAGAGCCTCTCCTTTCCTATTCTCCTTCCCTCTTTTTTCATTTGAAAGATTAGTCAAACGAGGGAAATCTTGGTACTCTTGCTGCAAGGGAAGGTTGCAAGGCATCTGTCAACCGGATGCTCTCTGTGAGGCTCCAGAAGCGCTTTCTCATGGAATCTTCTTCGGGCTTTAGAGGAAGAAAAATAATGAAGAAGAATGGGAGAAGGAAGGAAGAAGGAAAAAGGACGGAGAAGAAAGGCTCCACGGTTGACAGATATCCTGAGACCGCAAGGGAACCTTCGGTCGACAGATACCTTGGTACCGCTACACATTCCTCAATATCATTGTATAATGCGGCCTAACTGACACACAGTTAGCGAAGCTGGAACGGACCGACGAAAAAAGCCAAGAAATTATTTGTAGTTGCATTTTTATTGTTCCGCCGTTACAATGAGTGCTTATGATTTTATATTTACGGAATAGTTCGTGCACGAACCAAACTCCAAAGATTGCTTAACACTTCCGGAGGGAGGAACTTCCAAAATGACAGCGATCGATAGATACATACGCAGCATTCAAACAGCATAAATTATTTAACAAATTCACATGCATACATACAAGTGAGAGCAATATCCAGATATCATAAGAGCATTTGAAGTCAATCTTCATGCGAATCAACAATAACAAGCCGATTTTTCTTCTTCTGTGAACTAACGGGAGATGTGGAAGCAGATTATTCGTATTGCTTCTACCCAGACTCAACTCCTATGCTGTCCTTTTCATCGGAGCTAGTTGTCACACGCTTCCTCTTGACTTCTTTCTAAAGAAAAATATTTTTAAAGACAGCGCCCGCGTTCATTTGTTGTTCTCACGCCCTCTCTGGATCTAGTAGCTCCCCCTATGAGGATGGTGGACGTGCATGTTTCGCAACCCAAAAATGCGACGGAACAGCGGCGTCCGCCCGCAAAGAGCCGACGGCTCCGCCCACCTG